AAATCCTCAGGCCCCGCCCCAGCTTAGAGCCTCTTTCCATGTCTACTCCTCCCACAGGTGACCACCTCCAGCCCAGGGAAGGACTCAGAAGCCCAGCCCCTGCCCACCATGCAGGTGCCCCCACCCTGTCTGTTTTTGACAGGGAGCCCCACACAGCAATGGGCTCACCTGCATGTGCTGAAGGGGACAAACCCCAGTTAGGGCCTCATCACAGGCTTCCAGAAGCATCAGGAACACACAGGATTCCCTCCTGCCAAGGAAGAGGCTCCAGGAGATGCAGGGGCTGAGTGGGCGACAAGCTCTTGCGTCCTCCAGGGATCATAGGGGAGCAGTGCTTCTGTGCCCTAAGGCCAAGTCTGAACTCTCAGTGACAAGAATGAATTACATAAATCTCCTCCAGGCCAGGCCCTGCTTCCAGGGCTGTGGGAAAACAAATAGGGCCTCTAGTCTGGAACTCCAGCCACCCTCCAAGCCGCGGCCCCTCTGGCTGGGAGGCGCCAGAACTTCCTGTGAGGCCCTCCTGGCCAATGTCTCCTGCAGTGGACAGCCCAGAGCGCCCTGGGGGAGGGGTAATCAGAGGAGGTTGTCTGATCCTGGACTGATGCCCTCCCCCTCCAGGGCACGGGTTCCCCTCGTCCCCATTTCCCCTGAGTGTGGAGAGACAGACTGACATTTTCCAGCAAAACAGTATCAAGCACCAGGGCAAAACAGACACAAGATAATTCTGGGGATAACAGAGTCTAAAAATAGCCCCCTTCACAGCCCAGACTCCTGGCACGGAAGACGCCAGACAAGCGAGCAGCAGGTGCACGGGGGCCCAGGGCCATCCCCAGAGGGGTGGCGCCCGGCAGGCATGGACAAGGAAAGAGCGCAGGGCTGGCATGGGGTCTCTGTCCTCAGGGAGTGCCAGGCAGGTGCCAAGACTGCGAAGGGTGGGCTGGGCACACAGAGGTGACACCAAGGGCGGGGAGCAGGGTAGCCTCTGCAGAGGAGAGAAGAGAAGAGCTTTGACAGATGAATAGGTGGTTGGCACATGGCGTCATTCCCTGCAGAAGGGTGGAGGGGAGAGGTCACAGGCAGCTTCCTGGCACCCAGCGGGACATCCAGAGAGACAGGCAGAGGTGGTGTCAGAGAGGGTCTCAGGGTCCCTGGTCTCACTGTCACCCCAGAGCCAAGGGGTTACCCTCAGGGCGAGGAGCTCTGAGCAAGACTTGCCTCCCGTGGGCTCCCTAGGCCGTGGCTCAGTGCACTTTGTGCAGGGTGGCCCTCACCCTGCCCACTCCCGCTGAGCGCCCACAGCCTCTGCAGCCCCTCTCTCGGGTCAGGGCCAAGCTTGGGCCCAGCCATGGGCTTGCCAAGGGCCTCCGGGTGGACCCCAGGCTGAGCGAGACTGTGCTCAGAGGTCACTGAAGCGGAAGCCGTGCCCAGGGTCGGGGATCCCATAAGGAGAGCAGGTCAGAGGGTGGAGGCACGCTGAGCAGGGCCGGGTGGGCAGAGTGGGCTGCAGGAGGCAGCGAGAGCCAAGCAGCTGGCAAGGGCCTCTGGGGGAGGCGACGGAGGAGGTCTGCTCCTGCGGGATTCCGGAAGGACAATGCCTGGCAGGGTGGGGAGGCATCAGTAGGGGCTGAACAGAGCAGGAAGCAGAGGTGGGGACTGAGGGGTGGGGTCGAAGGCAGGGGACAAGCAGGAAGTGGGGTGCTGGGCAGGGCCCTGGACCATGGGCTTGTAATTCAGTCCTTATCCAGGGGCTTAGAGGGCTCGGCCCAGAAGTTTACTCCAGTGGTTTTATTTTTTAAGGATCTTTGTACTCCAGTAAGGGGGTCTCTAGGAGCAAACCAACACCCAGCAGGCCAGGGGAGGCCCCACGTGGAGGCCCCCAGTGGGCAGTGTGCCTGCGGGGCTGGTAAATAGATCAAGAGGGAGCAAGTAGGAACGCTGGGAAAAAACACAGTGTCATGTAAGAAAGGGAATAGGACTGCAGGCCTGTGCCCTGGAGGACATGCAGGGTGGCCATGCTGAACACCAGGCACCACTGGGCAGCTGTGTGGACCTGTGCAGGGAGTGGTAGTGTGGTGGGCAGAGGGGGAAATAGCAGCATGGGGCCACAGAAGAAATGGGGACCTGGAGGCATGGCAGGGCTGAGGGTCCAGGGCTGCAGAGAGCACAGTGCAGAGAGAGTGTGGGCGTCCCACCGATGGCAGCCACCTGGTGCCAAGAAAAGACCTGGATGGCCAGCCTGCTGAGGCTTGGTGAGAGCTAACCCCACCCTGCCGTTGTGTGATTTGGCTTCAGCTCCCACCCACAGGCCTCCCCACTCTCATCCCCCTGGGAGAAGCCTGGGGTGACCTGGTCGGGGGGCAGGGTCAGGGTGGGTGTGGAGTGGTTTGGCTGGGTATAGCAGCACCTGTTGGGGTGCGAGGGGAACCCTAGCTGCCTGATGGCCGTCCTCACCCTGGCTCATGGGCTCAGCCTGAGGCTACAGAGATGCAAAGGAGCCTCCTAGGAGCCAGGGGCAGAGCCAGGCCCTGTTAGGCAAGGTGAGGCTCATATGACCCCAATTTTCAGTGTGACTGTCTGTCCCCCATCCACCAAAACCCTCCCTCCTTGCATCCTACACGTGTGCTGTTAGACGATCCCTGCAGGGTGTTGGTGGCAGTGGAGGCCCCTCGGCTGGGCCGGCCCCTGGGGCTGCGGCATGCCATCCCATCTCTTCACCTCAGCCGCCAGCAGTCTGGCAGTGGAGCCCAAGCTTCAGCCAGCAGAGGAAGACAGTGGCCTGGGGGCAGCCGGGCACTGGGAAGGTCCTGAATAAACAGGTAGAGCCCAGGCACCAGCCACATGCTTATGTGACAGAAGATAAGCAGCTTTGTTTGCTGCGCCCTTTGTTGCAGCAGCCGGACCCCACGCCGCTGGATGCACCTTGCTGAGGCTGCTTCGCGTTGGCACCTCCAGCGTGCTGCATGCAGTTTCTTAACCACCAGGGGTAATGGCTCGCACTCAACAGCACTCTGATGGGGCTTGGGAGACACCGTCTCAGCTGAGAACTGGGGGAACGTCCTGCGTGCCTGCTCTGGCCCAGGCACCCTGCCCTATGACCCTTATGCCAGCTCCACAGGCAGACTTGATTTTGTACAAAAGGCAGCCCTGGGACTTGAGCCAAGGCCCACCTGGCTTAGACGTCCCCCTCCAAACCAGGGCTGCAGGGTGGGGAAGCATCTGACCCCAGTTCCAGGCCTGCTCCCCAGGGGGAGGCAGGAGCCAATGCCCTCTATACCTAGGTTTCCCAGATGAGTAGGTGACACTGTGTGGTCTGTGATATCTGCATGGGCAGGATGGGGAATGGGGAGAGAGGCTGAATCAGGGGACACCCTGTCCTGGGGGTTGGCTGTGGGACTCATGATGTCTGCTGGAGGGTCCGGGCCCCCCACGCCATGCCACCCCATGCCGCCCCACCCCGCTCTTTTCTCAGGACACAAAGACAGAGCTGCTGTCAGATTACTTGAAGCGCTCGGGTAGCCTGTTGCACAGTCATCCAATGACAGGGAGCAACTTTATGTAAAGGAAAAAGCCTCTGCAGTTCCCAGCTTTTGATGTGAGAAGTAGTATTTCTCTGGGAGAAATTACTGCCTCTCAAACATCACCATGGTGCCTCAGCCTCCTGTTCCTGTCAGTTTCCTTCCCATTCTTGTCAGCGTTTTCATTATTTAAAAGAAATAAAAGGAAAGAATAAGGCAGAGGCCGCCCTTCCATCACAGAGTGCCAGGCCAGGGCTGCCTGCCCTCTCTGCGTGGAGGGTGACGACATTTCCTGCAGGCAGGTGGTTCTCTCTGTTCCAGCTCATTGCCTGCCTCCCAAGGGCTCCTCTGTCCCACAAGCTCCATCCTACACATGCCCTTCAGCAGGGGCAGCCCTCCCCGGGCTGGGCCAGGCTGCTCATGGCCCTCGACCCCTGGCCCAGCACCCCACCCAGTAAGGCACCCCTTCTGAGGGCTGGACCTGTGCTGGGGGGCCGACAGCTCTTGCACATGGCCCTGGAGATTGTGATAGTCAGTTCATGAGTTGCTGCAGCTGGGGCACCGTGCCCAGGCATCCGGTAAGCCCTAGTCTAGGTGTTGCTCTGAAGGTGCGTAGATGTGATTAAGGCTAGTAACCAGCTGACTTTCAGGAGGGAGGGCTAGAGAGGGAATGTGGGTGGGCCTGGTTCAGTCATCTCAAGGGCCTGAGCACAGCACACGTTCGCCTAGGAGGAAATCTGGCCTGTGGGCAGCAGCCCAGTCGAGTGGGGCATTCCAGCCTGCCCTCCAGGCTTTGGGCTGCCCTAGCCAGCCCCGTGCTGAGTGAGCCAGTGCCTTGAAACAAGTCCATCTCCCAGCGGTCCTGCTTCTCATTGAACACTGGCTGGAGCAGGGGTCCAAGCCCCCTCCAGACCATCTCTCTCTCCCTCTCAGGCACCACAGAGGCAGATGAGGCCAACGACACACAGGATGCTGGATGGCCCTCATTTCTGAGTTCTTAAGCCCATGCATGGATTGTAAGAGTGATGCTTCCCATTTTGCAGGTGAGAAAACTGAGGTTCATAGAGACAAGTTCATGATCTCACAGCCCAGGCTCTCCTAGCAGGGATCTTGCCTTGCTGGGCCCCTGGGCCTGCAGGCCTCTGTGGAGGCTGAACACTGGAGCAGAGGGGCTCTCAGGACCCCCAGGATGCACACCCAGCAGGCAGTGGACAGGATCTGCAGGGGTCAGTCCTCTGCTCAGTGTGAATGATGGCTTCTCCCAGTCCCCCCATGGCAGGTGGCCTCAGGACAGGTGGCCTGCAGCAGCCCTCTTAGGTCCCTCTAACCTGAGAACCCAGGACTCTGACCAACTGCCCTATGAGGCCAGGGCTGTGCTCTCTCAGTTCCCAGAGACCCCCCAGTCTGCACTCGTAGGGATCCCTAGACCCAGCTCCAGGTGAGCCAGCCAAAGCCGGCAGAAAAATAGCAGCACACACTTCCCAAGAGGTTTCAGTGTTTTATTAGCAAAATCTTACAAAAGAGTCTGTCTTTAGGTTAAGGTGGCAGGGGTGTACACAGCCTGGCCTGACATCCACAAATGGGTCTGTGAGGGGGGTGTGAGGAGTGGGGGTGGCTACACTCTCTTGAGGACCCCAGGGCCTCCTGTAGCTTGTGCCAGCCTGTGGGTATGGGTTACGGCCCATGTGCAAAAATAAAATCTGAGGGACTGGCAGGGGCACAGGATGGAGGGGCGGGCAGATTCACCTACAGACAACTCTGCATTTTTGGGAACCCTCAGTAGATAGGCAGAAAAGAGAACCCCCAACCAGGGCCTGCTTGGACTGCAGACACAAGTGGCCAGCCAGCACCATGTTGGTGCTGGGGGAAGTGGGGGTCCAGGCCTGGGCAAAACCAGGGCCTGGCAGAGAACCTGCATGAGCCTCAGGAGCAAAGGCTGCTGGGATGTCCTGAGGCTGGGGCCATGGAGCAGGGGCAGAGGCTGTGGCCTCAGCCCTAGGACTCGTGTAAAGCTCTGGCAGGAGAGGATGGCCGCACCATGGGTGGGGGTTGTGAGCTGGAGCAAGACAGGGCTGGAGGTCGCAGACCCCAGCTCCAGCCACAGCAGCCTTGGGGGCGGGTGGGCGGGCTGGCGGCCAGCGGGGCGGGCATAGTGGCAGGCCCTGGCCCTCACGCTGGCCCGTCTTCAGCACCGGCTCTCTGCTGGGCCCTCCTCTCTGCAGCCTCCTCGCTGGCTGCAGGCCTCTCCTCCTGTGTAGGGGGAGGACAGGGGGCACTGCCCGGTGCAGCCACAGAGGCTCCGTGGGAACCTCAGACCTGAAAGGAAGACAATGGGACCATGAGGGGCAGGGCCAGAGGCCAGCAGGGGCTGCAGGAAACCCTCCCAGGGCGGAAGTCCCCCTGAGGTGCTGGTGTGCTGCCCGGCAGCTTGCCCAGAGGACTGGGAGAGAGCATGGGACAGGGAGTGGGGTGGGGCGGAGGGAACCTGGTGGGGAGCCCACAGGCCCTGGAGGACAGCTGAGGGACGGGGCTTCAGGGAGGAGGGATGGGGCTCCATTACCTGGAGTCACTCTCCTGGCTCCGAGGGCTCTGGCTGCTGCCTCAGCCGGGTCAGAGGACCCAGGCCCTGGGGGACCCTCGCAGGCCGCGGGTGAGTCATCAAGCGGAGCTCGATCCTTTCCTGGGCTGGCGTGAGTCACTGGTGCTGGGAGGAAGAGAGAGCACAAGGGGCCATGAGAGAGCTGGCTCAGCAACTCCTCCAGCCCCACCTCCCTCATCAGCCCCCCTTCTGGTCCCTGGGTCTCTGCTCCTTTCTGCCTCTGCGATGCCCTCCACCCCACCCCCAAACTAACTTGCTGGGGATGCTTTGAGCCCAGAGGCTCCCCAGAAAAGAAGTTGGCTTTGGGCCCTTCCTGCTTGACAGCACCCCCTGGCGGTGGTATCACAGGGGCAGAGCCTCACCTGAGGGGCCAGGAGGCACCAGGACACCAGGTCTGTTGCTGCGGCTGTGGCTGCGGCTGCATTTATTATGGCTTCTTGGCCTCGAGGAGGAGGGAGCCACACTGCCCCAGCTGGTGTGTGTGGCAGCGAGGGTGCCATCCAGCTGCATGGCAACTTCCAGGGGCAGGTGGCCTTCCCGAAGCCGAGGTTCCCACAGCACTGGTTCTGCCTTTAGCTTCTGCCCTGGGGTGTTCCTTGAGCTTGGTGCACTCTGGGCATGCCGCCTGGACACTTGGTTTCTGAGTGCCCAGAGGGCCCAGGTATTGAGCAGAATGAGGAAGCCTGAGAGTGTGGAGGGTGGGGTCGCAGGCCGGCAGGTTCGGGGCTGGGGCAGACAGACAGAGGGGGGATGACCAGGCAGGGGCCCTGCAATGGAGAGGGTCTCCTTTGCCGCTTAGGGGATACTGCCCACATCTGGCTGACGTGTCTGTGTGCAGGTCGGGCTAGGAGGCTGAGCAAGGGGGGTGCCCGGCTGGAGGAAGATGAGAGCCCCCCACTGCAGGAGCCATCCCAGCTCCAAAGTCCAGCTGGCAAAGGCCATTGGGCTGTGGTGGGCAAGCCGGGGCCTGGGCTGCCCTCTACTCAGGCTGGGTTCGGTCACTGGCCATGGACTCGCTGGTGAGGGCTGGTGTGAGGGCCTCCGCCTCGTCCTCGGTGGGCGGGTGGGGACTGGCCGTCTCGGCCGCCTGCTCCAGGCCGTCCTGCACCTCCATGCCCCTCTGGATGAGCTGCTCCAGGGTCTTGGGCAGCGGGTGGCGCAGGAAGCGCTTGAGCTTGGGCTGCAGGGTGCCCACCACATACTGGATGATCTCCTCCTCCTCGGCGTCCACATACAGCGTCTGGTACAGGTCCCGCTTGCGCCACAGGAACTGGTCCAGCGGCTCTCCCTGCTTCTGCGGCAGGTCCAGCTCGCGCTGGATGGCCTCTCGGGACAGCGTGCCCTCGCTGTACTGCAGGAATTCCTTCTTGAACTGCACCCAGTTCTTCACGGAGCCCTGCTTGAACTCCCACCACTTCTTGGCTGGCCCGTTCATATGGTTCTGGATTTGTGACAGCCAGTACTCCTCAGAGCCACCCACCTGTCGCAGGTACTCCTCCAGGTGGCTGAGGAACTCCCTTGGGTCCTCAAAGATCTGTGTGTCCACCCCGGGACTCAGCTGCCCTTCCTCACCAGGCCCCCAGGGTGGGTACTGCTGGGCCTCCGCTGGCTCCTGCCCGGGCACCTCCCCGGCAGCCGGTGGTGGGGTAATGGCGTAGGGGCTGACTGTGTAGTCATAGGGGTCAGCCTCATGGCAGTAGCCCTCGGGACCTCCAACGCCCACAGAGACGGTGTGGGGGGCCGGCTCGCTGCCCACCGGGTACTTGCCGCCCATGGACTCCAGCCGGTCGGCCCACCTCTCCAGCCGGTAAAAGACCTCCCGCCACACATGCATCTCCCGCTTGACCCAGCGCTCCAGGCTGGCGATGGTCTCCTGGCAGCGGCACAGGCAGGCCTTGATGGACTTCTTCCAGCGCTGCGAGTCCCCCGTGGGCACGTAGCCGTCCAGGTTGCTCTCCAACTTGCCCACCGACCTGTGCAGCCCCTTCAGCTCGCGCTCCACCTGCTTGGACACCTCGGCCAGCAGGTGCCGGTGAGTCCGGCGCACGTGCTCCAGCATCTCGGCCCGGCACTTACCGATCTGCAGGATCACGTTGGGCTTGGCCGCCGGGCCGCCCCGCGGCGCCGGGTAGGCGTGGAGGCCGCCGCTCCTCATGTGCTCCAGCTCCATCTGCGCGCCGGTAGCCGAGGCGATCGGATCGGGAAGTCCTGAGGGGCCGGCTGTGCGGAGATGCGGGTGCCTGCGGCGGTGGGTCGGGCGGAGCGGCGCGCTGGGACCCTCGGCGCGGCGGCAGCAGGGCGTAAGCAGCAGAGCGCGGAGGAGCTGTGAGCTCTGCGCCCAAGCGCCGCCGGGGCTCTTTATGCCGCCGCGGGCCCGTGGGCGGCCCCTAGGCGAGCGCGGCTCCCATTGGCCCAGGCGCCCGCTCGCGCCCGCGCCCCGCCTCCCCGCGCCCCCTCGCCAGGCCGGCGAGGACCCGCCCCCTGCACTAGCTGCCGGGGTGACTAATGCGCGCTTCCCCGCCCGCGGGCCCATTCAACCTGCGGGACCAGCGACCCTCCCACGCTCCAGCGCGGAGCCGGGAGGCGCGGGTGCGGGCTCCCGGGGGCCTGAGACAGGTTGTCGCGCTGCCCCCCCCCCAAAAGGTAAGGAGGAAGCCCCTCCCTCAGGATCCCAGGGTCAGATTCCTCCTCTTACAGCGCTCTCTCCTTACTGGGGGTGGGGTGGAGCTGGGCTCTGCTCTCCTGGGTCCCCACTGGCCCTACCCTGCCCCTGCCCAGTCGGTTTTTCAGAATGTTCAGCCACGGATGAGCCCTAGCAACCACCCGACATTCAGATCCTCTTCCCTGGAGCCCGAGGCTTTCAGGACGCTTCTATGCACAGGTGCGCTAGGCAGCCCTCCCCAGTGTCAGGTGTGAGTTCTCAGCTGTGGCCTCCGGCTTCTGCCTCCCCCTGCCCGGCGCCCTGGCATCCAGGCCCTGAGCTGGTCCTCTGCGCCTGGTGAGGGACGCACCCAAGCCTTGGCTCTGCCTGGGCCCCTGGCATTGGTGTGGATGTGTGGACACTTGTGTGACGATGGTTAAGGCTGCCTGGTGCCCCACTCCCAGGTCTTTAGTGAGGCCCAAGACTTTACATTTCGCTCCTCCAGAGAAATCTGGAAGCTGCTTTGGTGGGGGTGGGGGGCGCGGGGGGAGTTGGGCTATGGAGGAGATGGAGGGGTCCTACAGCCCACTGCAGGGTGCTGGGCCCTGAAACCCCCCAGGCCACTGAGGGCACCTGGTCGGAAGCTCCAAGACTTCCCCCAAGAGGAAGGGCAGAGGGAGGCAGGGAAGGGGTGCTGGCCGACTTCTGCAGTCGGGAGAGGCAGGGAACAGCAAAGCACCATATAAGGAATGGGGCTCCGGAAGCTGAGATTCCCCTGGGAGGGAGGCCCCTTCCGCCTCCTTGGCAACAGCGGTGGGGGAGGGCTGCCTTTCCCGGGCTACCCCAGGATGGATGGTTATGGGTCCCGGGCCTCTGATGTTCTCTGGGCACAGGTAATACACACCAGTGCCCACAGCCACCAGCAGGTGGGTGACCTTAGGGCCTGCTGCCAGCTTCCCTCTCCCACTCTCACACTGCACACTCATAGCCCCCCGCATGCACACTCATAGCCCCCCGCATGCACACTCATAGCCCCTCGCATGCACAGTCATCCCCCCCGCCCACGCCCACCCCTCACACAGGCCCACAGCCCCCCTCCTGTTCACACCCTAGAGAGCATGCAGGTGCCCACACTTTGGGATCTCCAGGCCCCTTCCCCCTGCTCTCCTGGGAGGCCTCCCCATAACCCAGAGCCGATCTGGCTTCTCTTCCCCCGTGAGCTTCCACTCCTGGTGGGGGGATATCTTTCTGGCAAAAACTCCCCAAAAATCGCTTTCCTGGCATTTCTAATTAAAGGCAAGTGGGTGGGCAGAGAAGGGAGGGTGGAGGGGCAGCACAGAGCAGGGAGGGGGAGTCAGGCAGAGAAGCTGCCAGAAGAGGAGTCCCAGAGCTGCCCAGCCAGGAGCCCGAGGAGGCAGCCTTCCCTACCCCGTGAGATGTATGCATGTGGCTCCTGGTCACTGCGGGCTGCTTGTGTCCGTGAGCTCGTGCCCATGCCTGGGGGTCTGAGGGCCCTTGTGGGGGAAGGTGCCCAATGAGCCAGCTGGGCAGTGGAAGTGCCAGAGCCAGAGCCAGCACTCCAGTGACCAGGGCCACCCACTGCGGTTTACAGAGACCAGTGGTCCTGAGGGAGGCACGCAGGCCCAGATGCCCTGACCAGCTCTGGGCCTCGGACGACAGTGGCCTCCAGCCCCCACCCCACCCCACCCAAGGCTTCAGCACTCTGGCAGGGCTCCTGGAGGAAAGAGGTCCAGCCAGGGCCGAGGGTCCCCAGGGGTTGAGATGCTGAGAGAAGCCGTGAACACAAGAGGGGCTGGCGGGGATAGCAAGGGGCTGAGCAAAGGCAGGAGGCTGAAAAGTGGGTGACAGATCACCTTGGTCAGGGGAGCCAGGCCGCAGAGGGGATCTCGAGGTGGCCCAGCCGGCAGGGCTTGGCCCAGACCCCTTGGTGCCCCTCCCATGGCCAGTTCAGCCTGAGGTGGGCCTGAGCACAGTATGGGGGCGGATGCCGCGGCAGGTGGCGCAGAGCCCGGGCAGGCCCTGCACAGAGGCTGCGCTCACAGCTCACAGGGTGACAGGTGACAGCCACTGCGCCCGGACACTTAATCGCTGCCCAATTATCACCCCAGAAGCTTCAGCAAACCCCCGCACTGGAGCCTCAGGCTCCATTCTTCCGCCTCCAGAAAAAAGGCCGTGGCTCCCTGCACCTGGGACAGGGCGACCACCCCCATCCCGCTTTTCACGCCCCCTCCCCCAACAACAGGGGTGAAGGTGCAGAGTGTGGGCCCCAGTCCCCCTTCCCCGCAGAGCACGAAGGCGCAAAGAGGGAGGGCAGTCCAGCTCCCACCCTGCTCAGAGCCAAGCTCTTCTGCTCCTGGGGGGAGGCAGGCCAAAGACCACAGGGGTTTGCCCAATGCTAGGACCCAGGCAGCCCCCACTTCAGTCCCTCTGGGATTCTGACCTTTTGCCCCTAGCGCTCCAGGCTCGCAGTGCCCAGGTGCCGACTGGATGATGCTAACATGCCTATTTCAAGATAGGATCTCCACTCCCAAATCCACAGCCTCAGAGAGCCCTGCCCCTAGCTGGAGCCCTGGGTGTCCCGACAGCTCCTTCCTCCCAAGCGCCGGCCCTACTGTGGGTGCCGTGTGACCAGGTCCACGGCCGTGGGAGCTCACACCTGCCTCTGGGGACCCCTTGGGGCTGGCTCCCTGTCCCCACTGCCCAGACCTCCAGATATACCACAGGGTCTGCTCAGCAAGATGAGACAGGCCCCCTGTACCCCAAGCCTCCCTGCTCCTCAGGGATCCCCTAGCAACTCCCTGCTCCCCTTCGGGGGCCCTGAGTATGACCTTGGGGCCGAGGGGCAGAGGTTCACCTCCCTCCCCAGCAGTGCCACAGCCACAGCATGTGGACTCATACCAGCCTCAAGCTTCCGAAACTTCCCAAAGTGTCTGCACAGGGGACTCTCTCAGGGTGTTGGCATTTCGCACCACTTAGCACCCTGGTGTGAGCACAAACTCCTGTGGGGGCCACCTCACACTCACGTACTCCAGCTGATGGGGCTCCTTGTGCCTGAGTCAGGCCGTCCTGCTCTGGTGGTGGGGACGGGGCCTGCCTCTGGCTCCCACCTGGCCCTTCTTCCTGGGCTTGGGCTGTGGTCCCAGTGCCCACCCTCCACCCATGCCTACTTCCCATCCTGCTGCCCTGGGGGCCATCCTTGTCACGTGGCCTCTTTTCCTTCGCTAACACACCTAGTGGGGCTGGAAGAGAAGGGCCAGGCCGACCCTGTGCTTCGGGGCCACCGCAGGCCTGCTCCTGACTGTTCCTGGGCCCCATCCACCTGGCCTTGGTGCCCGGTGCTGCCCGGCCTGCTGCTCCGGCTCTGCAGGGGTTTCCCACGAGGCCACTCCTCTCCTGCCCGGAATCCAGGCCGTCTCTCTTGCTTCTCCCTTCTCTCTGGGCTGTGTGTGCCTCTAGGGCCAGCACCCATGTTCGGGTGCTCACAGCTGATTTACCAGAACCTGCAACAGGGCCTGGCCCAGACCAGGCATTCGGGACCGGGCATGGAAAGGAAAAAGGAAGGGCCCTTCTCTGTCCTTTTTTTGTCAGATGTTTGGCAGTTGCTCAACTGAGCCTCAACTTTCCATCTCTAAAATGGGGTCGCAGTACCCAGGCCTGGTGCCCCACCTGGTCCTGGTGGGAGGATCTCCCCCAACTTGTCAGGCTGTTATTCCTGGGACCGGGGAGGTGGGGTGTGGTTGGAGCCCACCACCCCGTGGCTCCTCCTTGTCTGCCTTCTGTGCCCCCTGGGTGGCACTGGGCCCCGCTCCCCTGCCCTGGCTGCACAGGCCGCCATGACAGACACCCTGGGGGAGCAGCTGGCAGAAGGGCGGGGGACCTGAGCCTGGGCAGCTGCGAGGACACCTGGGCCTCACAGCTGGCCCTGCCCCCACTACCACCCCACTCCCACCCCCTGGCTCCCCCATCCCTCCTGGGAGGGTGCCCTCAGTGGAGCTGGGGGGTGTACGGAGAGGCAGACACAGGGGTGGGCTGAGGGCAGGGCACACCCACTGGGCTAGAGCCCTGACCGGGCAGAGGCCAGAGAGGACAGGAGGATAGGGGTGGAGGGCAGAGACACCGGCGGGGGGGCGGGGGCAAGGCCAGCCCCTCTTCTCAAGGGGACATTCCCACCCTGGTGGGGGGCCCTGCCCAGGCCACCACCACAGGTGGGGTCCCTGGGCTGCACCTGCCAGGTGCTCCTCCTGCAACCAGAGCAGCTGCTGAGAGACCCCAGGAGACCGGGCAAGCCGGGCAGGGGTCTCAGGAGGCCCCTCGGTGCTGGTGTCAGACCTGTGACGGGGGGGGGGCGCCCAAGAGCAGAGGGGCTGCGCCCAGAGGGGCTCCCAGCGCCAGAGTCCCAGGAGGCTCCTCCTTCCGCCCCCGCCCCTCCTTCCTTCCGCGCTTCCTCTCCCTCCGGGCTTGGCAGGGTGTGTGTGCTGTGTGCTGTGTCCTGTCCCCGGAACCGGCAGCCTGTTCTTCTGGGCCCCCACACACCAGACCCTCCCCCTTCCTGCCTCCTGCCTCCTGCCGCAGCACCTCCCATCCGAGGGAAGTTCTGTATTTTTCCAACAGTGGTGGCAGGGAGGTGCCCAAGCCGGCTGCCCCCTGTGCCTCACAGGTGCCCACACCCCAGCAGCCCGGGGCCAGCTGGAGGAGAGCCCAGCCTCCGGGGAACCTCACCCCAACCCCCAGCCATGACCTGGGGGAGGGGAAGCTAAGGCCGGTGAGAGGGCAGGATGGTGAGAGGGCACGGGAAATGCCTGCTGGCTCCCGGAGGCATCCCGGACATGGTGGGTGAGTCCCCGCAGCCCCCACCCCTTCCCAGCCTCAGTTTTCTTACCCGTAAAGTGGGCACAACCATCACTCCCCTGTTCAACCATGAGGTGAGTCAGCCATTCAGTCAGAACAACAGATCCTGAGCCAACTTAACAGGCCCTGAGAAAAATGGGGTACAGGGAGGCACAGGTGGCCCCACAAAATAGGGTCCTCACCGTGACTCCACACAGGCCCAGAGGATGCAGTCTGCGTGCGGCCCTACACACCTGCCGACACCTGCAGGGCGAGCCTTCCCTCAGAGGCCCAGGCTCAGCTTCCAAAACACCAGACTGGGACCCCAGACCCAGGCCAGGACAAGGAGAGGAAGGGGCCCACGGGGGCACTGCAGGTCAGGTGCTGGGGGGTCCCCTGCCAGGGGCGGGTATTCAGGTAGGAGCCCTGGACAGGGCAATGGGCTGGGAGGTGCTCACTGGGTGGTTGTCCCTCCAGCCCATCTGGGTGTCCACAGGGCACTGGACAGGGGTGGGCACTGGGCACTGCCTCCTCACACTGCTTCTCCTCTAGCTGTGTGACCTCCCACAAGTTCCTTAGGCCCTCTGGCCCCACGTTGTCCTCCCACAGTGGTCACGCAGGACTAAATGGGCAGCTTAGCGGCTGTGGCAATGGTGTGTGGCTAGGAGTGTGCACCAGCCATGCCATTCCCTCCGCTGGGAGTGAAACTGCCCCCACCCCTTGTTCAGCTGACAAAGGCCTACCCAGTTTTAAAACCTGAGCACAAGGACTCAGCATGGCTTTCTGTACTGTCTAAGTCTGGGCCTAGTGCCACCACTTCCAGGGAGGCTCCTGTAGAGGAGTCTTCTGTAGAGCCTAATGTCTGTGTGTCTGCATTTGTGTGGTCCCTGTGTCCATGGGTGACTTCCTGATCTGTCCTTCTACTATGATCTTGCTCACTGACTGTGCCAGCCACTTAGCTTGCTCTGGGCACGTGGAGTGGACAAGGCCCATCTGGTTCCTGCCTTGAGGAGACTCTGGCCAGGGATGCCTGGCACCCCCAGCTGCTGGAGCCAGCAGCCCAGAGGGGCCCCCATGGGCAGAGACAGCCAGAGTGAGCTGGGTTCAGTCCCCCTCCAGCAGCAGGGCCTGGAGGGGAAGGGAACTGGATGGGGTGGGTCCAAAGGGTCCCCCTCGTCTTGGCTGGGAAGCAACCTCCAATCTGGGTCTATGGCCAGAGAGAGGAGGGCCGCAGGGGAAAGCAAATGGGGAGCTGCTCAGGCCCACCTCCCAGCTGGAGGCTGCCCCACGGTGGGTGGGGGGCCCGTTTGAGGGCTGTTTAGAGGTTCAGGGATAAGAGGGAGTCAAGCTCCCAGTGTCTGCTTGGTGACCTTGGCAGTCAAGTGTGGGAGCAGTGCGACAAGAACTCAGGAACAGCTGGGGGGCTGCCTGGGGGGCCTGGAGCCAGGCAGCAGCCCCCTCCTCTCTGCTCCACTGGGCCCCCAGCCAGGCTGCCTCCCCAGATGCCCAGACGGCCCAGATCATGCAGCAGGAGCCCCAGGTGTGCCCAGCACCTCCGCCAGGACAGGGGTTTGCTACCAGCTGGCACTGTCCAGATGCCCCAGGAGCTGGGGTTCAGGACAGCCCGTGCCAGGGAGGGGGTGGCGGCACGCCTTCCCGCTGTTCTCTGCATCTGCATTTAGATCTCTCCCGGCAGCTTCCAGGGCACACTTCCGGAGCCATAAAAGGAGAGAGGCTGAGAATAGTGCGTGTGACGCTTGAGGAGCTTCCCCACGCAGGCAGGCTCTGCGCTGTGTCTGCCGGGAGGGGTGGAGGGACCCGGCCCAGCACCCCCGGAAATGGTGGTGGCCCCCTCAGGGTCCTGCCCTCCTTCCTCCACTGGCCACTCCCTGCCATGAGGCTGGGGCCTGAGCCCCGTGCCCTTCACAGTCGCCTCCCTACCCAGACCATCTTGTCCACTTCCACAGGCCACCTGCTCCAGCTCCTGGGCTCCTGACCCAGATATCCCAGGCCACTGGCCTGGTCACCCTGCCAGCTCCAGGCACGATGGTTGTCCAGGCTGGTGTCTCCCCCATGCTCCCCTTTTTATACACATGGGTGCCTGCCTGTGTGCGGCTGGGCTCTAGGGTGCCAGGTGTGAGCTGTGATGATTCTGGGCCCTCGGGCCTGGTGTCAGCCCTGCCAAAGCCCCAGTCCCCCAGATCTCAGCTCAACATCCCCCAGCCATGAGGAGCTGCCCACAGTGGAGCCTCAGCGAGCGGTGGTCCACAGGGCCCTGGCTGTCTCCCCGCCCCAGGCTCTTGTGCAATTCCTGCTAACTTTGAACAAAGGCCTGTGTTTCTGTTTTGTCGCAGGCCCCACCAGTTATTCAGCCAGGCCCACCTGCCAGAGCCCCGTTCCTAATCCCAGGGGACAGGAGTCCACTGTTCTGTGATCTCTCTGGAAAGAAGGTCACACGGGAGAAGGGGCCCACTGCACACCCAGCATCTCCCTGACCTGTGGGGCAGCTGGGGGCGTTCATCGTCACCCATTTCTCAGATGAGAGAATTGAGTGCAGAGAGGGTAGGCCCAGGAAACCCAGCTAGTGATTGGATGGCCGAGCCTCTGGCCCTGAAGCCAGCCCTGGTCCTGCTGTCCAGTGCCAGGCCAGGCCACCCCAGACACTCCCTGAGCCTGTCCTCTTCATTAATGGGGGGCCCTTGGAGGCCCGTGATGGGTGACTGCCCCCAGGGCAGGTCTGCGCCAGCAGGATGCCTGACCAGTAGGTCTCACCCCTGACGTACGATCCCCTTTTGCATCCTTATTCCTGAGGCTCATATCTGGGCCAGGCGCTGGGCCACAGGGACTGGGGATTGGCATCGATCGTGGCCCTTGCTCCAGCCCAGAAGAAGACCAGCCCCTCTCAGGTGCAGCTGGGGCTGGGGGACAAACCAGGGGCCTGAGTGGAGAGGAGAAGGCACAGGTAAGGACCAGGGGTCCAGACGTGTCTCCTGGAGGCTGCTCACCCACCGTGGCTTCACCTCATCACACCCACCCCTACAGACATGCCCCCTCTGAGCTGGAGAACAGAGATCTTCCCACAGACCCTACCTGCCATCAGGCTTTCGGCATCCCCCAGGTCCACTCCTGTAAGGGCCCAGGACACCCCACTCCATCTCCTAAACCTTCTGGGCCAAAGTGACAGCCTTCACATCTTGCTCCTTACCTGCCTTCTGCCCGAGGGGTGGTGGACGACACTGAGGCCCAAAGAGGCCTAAACCAGGCCGCCCTCCGCTGGGGGGTGCTCCTCACCCTCTGCCCTGATGGCCTCACCCCCACCACCCCAGGGCCCTCGGGCTGTCCCCACAGCCCACAGACCTGAGTCTGGGCAGAGCCTGGGGATCTGGGGCATCTCAGGGAGGAGGTCGGACATGCCTAGACACTGGCCTTGGCCAGGGAGTCAGGTTTCCCTCACCTGAGGCCCAGAGGCGGCCCTGGGGACAGGTGAGGAGGGGCTCCTGGGCCTGGGCCCACGTCCCTCCCAGGCCCTCCTCCCTGGCCTGCCCACCCAGGCAGAGAAGGAAGGCCCAGGCGGGTCTGCACCAGAGCAAGCTGGCTGAGCGAATGACCACCCCGGCCCTATTTCCCGTGCGCCTCGGCCGGCCGGGGGCACAAGATAAATTTCTAGCCTAGCCACTACGCAGTGGGACCATAGTCCCTGAACCAGAGGGCGCTGCATTTTTCTAGGTAAAAATAAAATGCCATGTCAGAAGCCCACAAGGATCTCAGCATCTCCATTGGTGAGATGAGCATGGGCCTGGGGGAGGCAGACAGCCATCCTGGGGGCAAGAGGGAGCGCCACCATACCGACTCTGGCGTGACCCCCCTGGGTCCCACTCGTGAGGTGCCATATTCGCTGTCACAACACCTGCCTCACCCGCATGGCCACACCACCACCACACCCGCTATCAGGCTGCTCAGGTGCCTTAATTAAACACCACTGTCTGGGCGGCTTCAACAGCAGGCTTTTATTTCTCCCAGATACGGGCACTGGGAAGTCCAAGACGAGGCATCAGCTGATAAGGTTTCTGGTGGGAGCTGGCTTCTCAGCGTGTGGACGGCCGTCTTCCTGGTGTCCTCACAAGGACTTTCCTTGGCTTGTGTACATGGGATTGGAGGCAGGTCTTGTAAGGCCACGGTCCTATCCAGTCAGGACCCCCTCTGCCCTCACTGAAGCGCAATCACCTCCCAAAGCCTCTCTCCCAACACAGTGCTCTTGGCGTGGGGCTTCATGTGAATCTGGGGACACACAGTTCAGTCCATAGCTCCCACCACCCCCACCATTAAAGCCACAGCTTCCTTCCCCCACAGCACCCTGATGCCAATCTCCTCACCACTATACCATCAACCCCAGCACTGCCAGCCCACTACCACCACCCCACCCTCACCCCCGCTCTGGTCCACCCAGACTGTGCCAACTGAATGCCACAGATGGGGTGGCTTGCAAACAGCAGAAAGTTATTTTTCACTGTTCTGGAGGCTGGAAGTCCAAGATCGGGGCTGGCGTGGCTGGGCTCCAGTGAAGCCAAACTTCAGACCCCTCACTGGTTCTCACATGGAGGGCCAAGGGGCTCAATGGGCTCTTTCCAAAGGGCTCCACTCCCATAACCCAATCATCTGCCAAAGCCCCTCCTAACACCATCACCTCTGGGATCACAGGATTTAACCTTTAAACATTTAGGCCACAGCAAACCCCGTGACCAGCATGTCTGATCGCTACCGCCACCAAGGTCTTCACCACCTTTATCACCCACACAGCCACCCCGACCCGGCTTGCCATCTGGCGGGGAATGCACTTCACTGATGAGTGTGGCTCTGAGGGAGGCAGACCTGGACCTCACTGGGCTCAAGCCCCCATTTCTGCCAACAAGCTGGAGAGGCACTGCTGCCCCTGAAGAAGAGAATTTCTCTTCCTGTAAGCACCAGAGCTGAGGGGCCTAGTGGATCTTTGAAGCACTTGCTGAAATACCCACTTTGTGTCGTGACATCCGACCTTCAGTCCCCTGCACTTGAAACCGCAGAGCAAGGAGAACCTGCCAGCACTGCGGAGCTACGGCAATGCGGCAGTGCCTATCTGGGGGCATGGCAGGTTAGATGCGCAGGGCCCAGCATGCACAGCTCACTAAATGGGAGCCGCCAGCAGCTGTTTCTGCGGTTAACGCTGGGTAAGAGTCACACTGCCACTGGATTGGGGTCCTACTGAGAAGACCCCGTGGCCTAGGGGTCCACATGGGTACCCACAGGCTGGCCGCAGGGCATGCAAGGGGCCACCAGAGGCACTCCGGGGACGCTATGACAGTGCCTGCCCCCAAGGGCCAGGGCTGGGTCCCCTTGTACAGGACACCCTCTGACTCCCAGATGTGCCCCCCAGGTTCGCCCCAAATGCCTGTCACACTAGGAGACCCTTGTCCTTGTGTCTAGCCCCTGGGCTGGCCATCCACTCAGGGCAGAGACCATGCACTACTCATGCCTGGCACAGCTGCCTGTGGGGCTCTGAGAGCATGGTGGGCGGGCCACTGTGGCCTCCTCCAGAGAGGCAGGCAGGGGGTTTCGGTGCTCACCCGCCTCTGTGCCCCCGAGCTGCTTTGCCAACCTCAGGTCAGCAGTGTCTCGGGTGGGGGGAGAGCAGGCCCACCTGGCCTCACCTGAGCCTCAGTGCCAGGGTCACCCTCACCTCCTGGCTGGACCCACGCTCCAGGATGGCAGGGCAGCCCAGACGCCAGCAGTCAGTGGGTGGCAGCCTGCGGTCTGCCTGTGAGCCTCCCAAGGGCAATTTTCTCCTCATTCCTAATTAGGAAGAACCCGTCAGTAGAGTGGTGCATTCCTGGAGCGCTGCTGCCTTACTGCGCTGCTTTACTAAAAAAACGAGGAGGCCAGCTCCCCACTCGGCTGGACGCTGCAGCAGAGCCTCCTCAGCGGGGTGCTGGGGAGCCCAGCCGCTTGCTGGAGTGGCATCCGTCCTTGCAGCTCTCGCCCTTTCTCCACGTGGCCCTGGGCTGGATGAAGCAGAGACAGCTGAGCGTGTGAGCCCTGCGGCAGGCGGATGCTGAGGCTGGTTCGGGAGGCGCCTGATGACAGGAGGGGCAGAACTGGGCTCAGGACCCAGGGGTGTGACTCCTCAGCTGAGGGACACACAAGGAGGGCTCACCTCAGGTCCCAGGGGAGACCCAGGTTTGGCTCAGCCTGGTCATGTTCCCTGCTCTGCCTCAGTTTTCTTTTCTGGACAGTGGGAGCATTAAGCCACGGTGTCTTCATTACTCACCTGCCACCCGCCCAGCATGAAGCCTGAGACAGGTGGGACACTGGGAATGGGGCAGGAGCTGCCCAGCTCTGCAGAAAAGGCGAGGATACTTCCCACAGTGCCCACAGGAGACCAAGGGACAGGAAGTTGGGGTGCCTACTGGCCCCTCAGCTTCTCTCTCTGGGCAGGTGGGGAAGGGCCAGCCTCCCAGAGGACAAATGGAGGGCACTGAAAGTAGCTTCTCCTGCCAGCCCACATCCGGGCGGGGGTGGGGACGAGGCAGGCCCTGTGTGGGCAGCCTGCTGAGCCAGTCCTGGAATGAGTTCCCAGTCCACTCTGGGCTTCAGAGCCTGCCAGTCACCACTGTCACTCTCATCAGCAACTGGCCGACACCCTCTTCACCACCAAAATCAGGTGCCAATCACCATCACCCATTCCAGACTGACACCAGTACTCAGCTCCACACTCACCCATCACCTCTGACACTCCAGGAGCATGGTCACCATCACACCCAAGAGCAGGACCCACGGAGGCCAAGCCACCTCACAGGGAGCAGGGCTGGGGTCTGGCCGGCACCCTTCTGCCTGGCCCGACGCAGCTCCCATGGCACCCCCACTACACCAGACCAGCTCCAGCACCCAGAGCTCAGGACGTATCTGCTCCCCAGTTCACACAACTGGCTATCGGCGAGAGGCCTCAGCTTCTCACTAGCTGTTGGCCAGGCTACAAGCAGCAGCTCAAGGCGGGGGAGACAGAGAACCAACAGGGGACTAGGCTCCTCCTCCTGGATGCTGGCCCCACCCCTCCAGGACATTGGCCCCTCCTCCTCAGGATGCGGCCCCGCCTCTAGGACGTGGGCCCCGCCCCCCCGGGCGCTCCACTTAGCTCTTTTGTCTCCAGCCTCTTCTCTGCGCCTGGGCCGGGGCTCAGCCGGGGCACAGTGCCGCAGTGAACCCGGGGGCAGGGAGGAGAGGTGCTGAGACAAGGGAGTGCCCTGCCCCTGCGGGAGGTCCGCAGCTGGCTCTCGGAGCTCATTCGCACGCTGGGCCCTGCAATCCTACGACCCCGCATTAGAAGCCCCCGCTGGTGTCCGGGAAGGGCCAATGCCCAGGACGGATGGGGGAGGAGCAAAGGCAGGAGGCGGCTGGGCCCCAAAGCCCTCCGTGTCCGAGGGTGGAGGCGTCTCGGCTCAGATCCCTGCCTGCTCCTGTCCGTAGGGTGAGCTGGGCCTGCTTCACCCCAGGGGAGGCGCAGCAGGATGCTCCCCCAGGAGCCACCGGACCAGCTTGAGCCTAAACCTGGGGGAGCCCAGCTCTGACGCCCCCACCTCCCCCAGTTCTCTGGTGAGTCAGCTTCAGTCACCATCCACCCCCAGGACTGCTGACTGTCACCCAGAGGACTTGGAACCCCTGGAAGCTGGAGTCCTGGCAGAGGAGAGGGAGGGGCCGTGCCTGTGGCCAGGGATCGTGCTGAGCCGCCCACTGATGGCCACCGGTCAGCAGAGGCTCTTGGCTTCTCCAGTTTAAGGGCAGAACCTACTCAGGGCTCCGGGCTCCCTGGTCTTGTCCTCCTCATATAAACCGAGAGAGCACAAGGGCCAGCATCAGGCTCAGCCTGTGACCACCGCCAAGGACCAGCTTGTGAGCTGGGCGGCCGCTCACTCTGCCTGGGGCTGGGCTCCGCCTGTGGGTCTGCTGGGGTCAGGCTCCGCGTGCGCCTGGTACTGCAGTGTGGGCTGACCCCCAGTGTACACACCCAAACACCCGTTGTCTGCAGGCTGGGGGACTGTCCCTGGAGAGAGTGTGATGGGGAAACAGCCACACCTCACAGCCTGCTCCCTGCCTGGGGGGTGAGGGCAGCCGGTGGAACCCAGGTGCCAGGAGCCCTTCGGAGGCCTCCCTCTCCCTCTGCACCCTGCTCCCCAGTCTCGAGCAGGGCAGGGTGGAGATGGCTGACGTTCCTCCCAGCCAAGGGTGCTCCGGACCCGCAGTCCTCAGGCCGGCACTGCGCTCCAGAGCTGTGACCTTGGAGGACAGGCCCTTCTGTTTCCAAAGGGCTGGGGGAGCCACAGCCAGCTGGCTGAAGGCCCGAGTCTCCCAGGCCTGCCCCTCAGTACCCAGTCCAGCTTCTCCCCTCTCCCCTCTCCCCGTCCTTTTCCACCCTCCTTCCCTGTCAGGGGACCCCTCTCTGTGAAGAATGACAGGAGCGAGTCAGAGCAGGTTACTCACCCTGCAGCTGCCAACTCACCTCCCAGGCACCTCCCAGGCCTCCTCCTCCCGGGAAAGAGGCCTTGATGTCTCTGAGCAAAGCGCATCACAGAGCCGCGTGGCACCCAGTCCTGCAGTCAGCTGCCCCCCGGGCGTGCAGTGGGGAGGAGGCAGGGCTCATCCTGAGCGCAGGCAGCTGGTGGGTGCGCCAGGAGGCTCCTGGTGGGGCGGCCCCTCCTCAGGCCAGCATGAAAAGCACCTTATTAGGGAACTGAGCAAAGTCCCTGGTAGGCTGAGGCTGACCCTGCTCAGGTCTCCTGGGCACTAAGCAGAACCCTTCCACAGCTGACTTCTCATCAGAAGTGAAGAAGGCCCCGCACTGCCTGGGTGGGCTCCCAGGGCCTCCCTCATTCCCAGGCCAGCACCAGGGGGGAGGCAGACGCCGTGCAGGGAAGCCTGTGCGCAGGCCTCTGAGCGCTCCGGAGCACACTGGCAGGGCGCCTGCGGACATCCTGGGCCTGTGTGGGGCGAAGGCCTGACCTGGGGCATCACTGCACGGGGCCCAGAGGCACTGCTGAGCCACCTCCTCAGGCCAGCATGACTCCTGGCAGCTGCAGAGACAGATGGACAACGGAATGGACAGTCAGAGACTGCCTGCCTGGGACCCTGGCCCTCAGCACAGTGGGGGTCTTGCTGTGTCCCCAAGTGCCCATATCCACTTCTGGGTCATCTGGCAAAGGCAAGGCTGGGAGAGGCCGGGATTTGTGTGCCTATCACGGCCAGGCCACCACACTCTGGCCATGGCGCCATCTGGGCTCCTCTGTCGTGCCCCCCCCACCAGGGCTGTGAGTGCTAGAGGGGGAGGCCCAGCTGGGCATCTGCAGGGCAGCACACACAGCAGGCGCTCAGCCAATGCTCCAGAGGCAATGAGGGGCAGAGAGAAGAGGGGACAGAAGCCACCATGCAGAGGGGAGAGAGGGAACAGAGGGCACCAGGCAGAGGGGGCAGAGGCCACCAGGCAGAGGGGACAGAGGGCACCAGGCAGAGGGGGCAGAGGCCACCAGGCAGAGGGGACAGAGGGCACCGGGCAGAGGGGACAGAGGGCACCAGGCAGAGGGGGCAGAGGGAACAGAGGGCGCCAGGCAGAGGGGACAGAGGGCACCGAGGGCACCGGGCAGAGGGGGCAGAGGGCACCGGGCATAGGGGAGAGAGGGAACAGAGGGCACCGGGCAGATGGGGCAGAGGGTACCAGGCAGAAGGGAGAGAGGGAACAGAGGGCACTGGGCAGAGGGGACAGAGGCCACGAGGCAGAGCAGAGGGGACAGAGGGCACTGGGCAGAGGGCACAGGGCAGAGGGAACGGAGGCAGGGGCGGGCTGGAATCTGCAATCCCAGAGACCCCCAGACCATAGCAACAGCTCACCGAGACTCCTGGCCGTTGGCTTCCACTGACCTCCTAGGGGTCAGGGTCTCTCAGCAGGAGGGGAGCTGGCTCCTTCTACCCTGCCACTCCACAAGCACCCAGAGCTGACCTGTGGTGCCCAGGGCCTGGACTACAGGACCTAGAGCAGGCTGGGTGCCCAGGACCAGAGGGGCTGACAGAAGCCCGGCACCCCTTCCTTCATCATGGCAGTTGGGCAGCTGAGGGTGAGGTGTAGGAACCCCAGACCATTTACTGTGTGCCAGGCAGTTACAGTCCCTACAACACACAATAAAACCCCACCTCTGGGTGTTCTCTGCCTGTTACCCCCTGCTCCTGGGCTTCTCCCCTTGGTACGAGCAGAAGTCCCTTCTGCAGGGCAAGACCCACCCCCCACTGGCACTGTGTGGGTGCTCTGGCACAGGGCACCAGGGTGGGGCCTGTGCAGGGCTGGGCTTCTGGGAAGAGGGGGGAAAGACCAGTGATCCGTAAGGCCAGCCTCCATGTCCGATAGGCCAGGAGTCCTGTCTGCTCACTGTCTTTACCTGGAGGGCTCCACCACTAAATGGGGGAAACTCCTTGGCCTGGACCCCAAATAAGGCAAAGATTATGCTTGGGGATCATATGGCCTGGCTGCACGGCCAGAGCCCCGTCCTCAACCAGAAAGCACACGCTGACTGGCAGGATCAGTTGCCCTCACCCCAGAGTGCACACCTCCAGCAGAAAGAGGAGGGTAGGCAGACACCTGCACGCAGCGGCCACATCCCGGTCAGGGGCAGAAAACAGACCCAGGGCCTGGGAAGGCCCCCGGATGGTATGCCCGGTGCTCTGGGAAGGGCGTGAGCCTGCCAGACCTCGGGCTGCCCAGAACTGAGGGTGAGCCTGTGAGGGGCTCTGGCGAGATCCCTCTTTGAATATGTGGGCTCAGTAGGGGCCGGTCGCCTTCACCAGTGTGGTGGGCCTCATCCAGTCAGCTGCAGACGTGAACAAAACGGGAGTAAGAGGAAGCGTGTCCTGCCTGACTGCTGGCCCAGACACTGGTCTTTTCCAGCCCTTGGACTTGGGCTGAACCGCTGACCCTTCCTGGGCCCCAGATCCCCAGCTGCAGACCTCAGGACTTACCTGCTGATGGCGGTGCGCACCAGCAACTCAGGGGACCTCCTGAGGCTTATACAAACATCCCGTTGGGCCTGTCTCTCTGGAGAAGCCCGACTGATAACGTGTGGGATCTGGCAGCTGAAGGTGGGTGGGAGGGCCCCACACCCTGGGCCCCTTGCAGGGTGGCCCCATCTGCAGGCACCCTGTTGGGGCTGGGATTTTCACTGGTGAGGCAAGAATCTGAAAGGGGCTGGCACTGCGAGCTCTTTTCCCACTGACTTACACCAAGGTCATGTTGGCTGTCATGGCAAACAGAGGCGGGGTGCAGGCAGGGAGAGCTGGGGCCCTGGGGAGTGAAAGGGGGTTGGTCCCATGCACAAGGTGCCATGAGCTGTGTCACACCAAAGACCTCCCTGCTGCTGGGTGTGGCTGGGACATACAGAGGTCAAAGGGCACCCAGGTTTGGGGCCAGTAGAGGTTGTCCTGGTGCCTTACATCTGAGCCACTACAGGGAGTCTGGGGAGATGCTGGGCTGGAGATGGACACTGGAGGTTTGTCAGCACATGATGGAATTAACACCCCGATGGGCAGGTCCTCAGGATGGGCAGGTCCCTGGGAGTGCAGGAGGATGGGGTCAAGAAGGTGCCTAGGAGTGTCAGTGGCCCCAGAGTCAAGGGTCAGACAGCCGAGGACACAGGCAGGAGGGCAAGGTTCTGGAAGCTGCTGTGAACGAGACACGTCTCCCTTCTTGCACGCCTTCTTGCACACACACACTCGTCCCGTTGCCTCACCAGGAACAGCCCCCACCTCTGCCCGTGCTGGGCCCCACCCGGACAGCCCATCCTCCTTGCTGCTGGCGAACAGCCTTTCAGAGAGACGTCCAGGACACACCCCAGGTCCCAAGGCTGTGGAAATGTGCCAGTATTGGTTGGTGACGTTTGTCATCCCTTTCAAACCATGGCCCCTCAAGTGTCCCCAGTGCCCAGGCCTGGCACATGGCAGGCACTCAGTAAATGTTTGAAGACTTGAGATGACAGAGGCTAGAAGTGGAGGAAAGCAGTACAGATGCACAAAGCACCCAGGTCAGGGTGAGCTGGAGGGCCAGCCCCACCCACAGGCCGAGGACACAGGCCAGAGGCCCTGCCTGCCTGGAGACGCAACCTCCTCCCAGCTTCTCCAGGCCTGACTCCACCCAGGACCAGCAATGGGCCAGGGCCATGCCTGCCCAGAGCAGGTGCTCAGGAAATGTCTCCTGACTGAAGGACTGGATGAGACTGGCCCCCCAGGAGTAGCCCTTCCCATGGACACTGTGGAGCACCATCCCTGCATTTCCAGAGGCCTGGCTGCTGAAGGGCAACGGGGAGGAGGGGACAGGACAAGCCAAGGCATCCCCTCATCTTGAATCCTCAGGTGTGGTCCTCGGGGGCCCATCCTGGGCGCTGGTGACATTGCCCCACTCTTGTCCACCTGGGGCTGCCTGCTGGTGCTCGTCTCAGTGGCTTCGCCTCTCCTCTAAGGCCCCTATGTCCTGATCAACAAGGCCTATCTGTCTCTACCTGTTTTTAGCGTGGCAAACTTAACATGTTTTACCCACGGCTTCAGGTCAGTGGCACTGAGTATGTTCTCACTAGCCACCACCACCTACTTCTAGAACTTTCCTCCAAACAGAAACCCTCTCCTGTTAAGGGGCATGTGCCAGCCCTTGGGCCTCACTGCAGCTTCCAAAGTGGCGTTGAGACCGAAGGGTCACACGCCTGTCTCCAAAACAACGGCTTAGCACTGCCCCGCCCCCCACACCCCTCATGTGTAGCTCAGGGTCGCCCATGGCTGCCTCGGGGGCTCTCAGAGCAGGGCTGAAAACATGAACAGTGATGACGGAGACATCCAGCATGCATTCGTTACCCGGCAGACGGCAAGTTGGAGAATACAATTCAATTACTTGAATACTCTGAGTTCAGTAAACAAGCTGTTTAATTGACTTAATTGTTTTAGCTGCAGTAAAGTATGTGTTTTGTTTTTTAAATTCTCTCATTTGAAAGCAGTGGACAGAGCCCCTCTGAGTGGGCAGAGCTCTGAAGTGGTGCCATTGGACCCCAAACAGAAAACCAGTGAGATGCTGCAAAGCCTCCCAGGACATAGGGACTCTCCCTTTCAGGACCAAAGTAAAATGAGGCTGGGCCCCACGGTGACGGCCAAGGGGCCAAGTATAGGAATGAGCTCAGCCTGGGCCGAGGGTCCTGCAGAGTAGGGGCTGGGCTGACCCTGGGGCAGACGGTCAGCACTTCTGAGGGGGCACGTCCCCAACTGCACAGACCTCCCAGGCCTGGGCTCTTCTCTCCAAGAAGCTGCCCACCTACCTTCTGCCATCTTCCCTTACCTGGCACCCAGGCCCGTCTCTGATACCTTAAAAATGTCTGTCTAACTAATGAGGCACAATGAGAACCATGGCCTCATTTTTGGAGCCACAAATAACAGAGATTTATAGGTGTCCTCGTTAGGGCAGCTGGCAACAGGAAGGCACCTGAGCCAAGAGGGAGCCTCACTCTGAGCCAAGGGATTTCTGGGGAAAAAGCCCTTTATTAAAATGTATGGCCCCATAAAAAGAGGCAAAATTACTTAAAGGTGTCAGAGGGTGCTATAGAGGGCCGCAGAGGCACAGCAGGAGGCCCTAGGGCAGTCCCAGGGACCTGCTCCCTCCCACACCTGCGCAGTCAGGGAGGACAACCTGAGCAGAGCGTGCAGAAGCCCCCATGGGAGGTGCCCAGCCTCCAGGCACTCTCCATCTGCCTAAGGCTTCTCCTGATTTCCCAACTGGGGATCTCCTATGCATCCTCTCAGGCCCAGCCCCCAGCGTACCACCTCCATGAAGCCCTCCCAGTTGCCCAGGCTGCTCTCCCACAGAACACTGCAGAGGTCTACCCTGCAGTCCCAACCCTCTGCCAGTGGCTTCAGGGCAACCTGTCTCTGGCCAGATGGAGGGCTTTCTGCAACTACACCCTGGTCACCTCTGTCCCACTTGCCGGGTAGACCCGGGATCTGGGAGGCCTTGCTCAGGCCTGAAAAACAAATGAATAGCCCCACACCCACAACTGTGG